ATGCTAACCAGATAACGCCAGCAGTTTATACAAATATACATTCGGACTTTTAACTTCGGCCAACAAAACGAAATAAGACCATATGTTTTGTCATAGATATATTTAACTTTATTCTAATATAATACTACCCTGACAACATTATTGAATTCGTTTTTACTTTTCTGAGCCTTTTTCGATTTGTTTATGAAGACATTTTGTTGTGGATTCCGAGATCAAATTCGGTCTCCAATGAATGACAAACGCAATAATTAAATATAAGAAATAAAATGTATTTACACAATAATACAAAGGGTAATACTGTTAGTAAATCTTAGGAACGCGGTTAGTAGCAATAACATATAGATATATAGAGTCTCGAAGTAGGACTTCCTTAGAGTCCACGTGCTTGTAACTGACTTCCATAAACGGTTACCTCACACTATTACCCTACCTCACAATTTCAGTCTCAGTCTTCTTCCTATCTCTACTCACTCTCTGACTGACTGTCTAACTCTGGGCATTTAACGGCAGCAGTCCAAGTAACACTTTGGTCGAGTCCACTTATATGAAAAAAGGGAGGACTCCATAACACATTTTCCGCGGAGCGCCAGTTCGATGAAGGTTTTTGGTGATGCCAAACTTCTTCAACTTGAGAATATTCGTTCCCATAGGACATTTAACATCTTGGTAACGTCCCTACCGCTCACACTTTCATTGTGTTGCTGAATAAAGCTTGATTTCTGCTTGGTTGAGAGATCCTTTAATTTAACTATGACAGTCTCGTTGTGAAAAGATGAACTATTAAATGGCCTCTGTCATAGCATCATATGTGAGGTAGTACTGGAAAAGTTTCTATGCCAATGCAGAAATAGCTAGACCCACATACCTTTTTAAATAATGCACCAACTGTGTAAATTTAAAATAAATATAAGCCTGGGAGGTGTTAAAATGTCCTTCACCCAATCTGCTCATCAAAACCTGGCCTGAGGATTAAATATCAAATATCACTTCTTGATGAAGTTGATAACTTTCACAGCAAATATGTTCCAGGTGTCTAAATTTATTTGTCTTTTCGCGATAGATAGATAGATAGATAGATAGATAGATATGAACTAAGATAATATGATAAATAACTTTGTAAGATAACAGTTATTGTGTTTGTGCCTAATTATCAGGCGGTTTTAAAAAATATTTAGTATAAAAACGCTTGATAATTATGCACCAACCCAACAAATAGGATCACTCTCTGATACAGATGACTGATCAGTTCAAACCCAGGTAACTGCAAGGATTTTGTTTTCTGATAATCAAAGTAAGCATGTTCTACCCACTCGAGAGATCGGTATTCACACAATTTCCATGCTTTTATTCTCTTCCATTTGGTATTGCACCAGATTCAATACATTCATATCGAATGTGTTCAAATAGATACATAACTAGATCTGAAGAAACGGAGGCAAAATAGTAAATAATTGAATATCGATTTCTGGAATTGTTGTTTCACTTCCATGAACTTGCCAACAATACTTTGTGTGTATGTTGATATATTTAAAAATATTTTATGAAGTGATTGGGCAGATAGTTTTAGTGAATCTCTTTATACTGAATTCTATCTAAAGCGGCTGCTACTGTTTACAACCGATTGAATGCTGTTTCTTCAAGCAATAAAGACCTATACTTTCACAGCCAATCAAAATGAACCCGTTTAATCATTCATTTAGCCAGCTATCCTCAATCATTGAAAATTGTTCAACCATAAAAAAACCTTTTCCGATATTTTTTTTCTTTTCTCTGCTCTTATTTTCCAATGGATTTACTATAAAGATTTTTTGCAAGGAATTAAAAAAAATGATTTCCACGCCCAGCATTTTCATTTTTCATTGCGCTAGGAAGAATATCACCGATTTCCCAGTGGGGTTCGATTTTTTTTAATATTGATTCTTTTGAGATTTCGATCTTGTCTCTAAAGTACTTACCGAAGATTTTCATTTTCGATCCATTCTCTGTGGTTTTTCGTAATATTTCCGTTAAATTATTCCTTTGTTATTTACCATTTTTTAGAATCTTCATTAGGAAAGCAATATGGTACCACTACTAATAGTACTATTATTACTACTACTATTACTACTACTAAGAAGAAGAAGAAGAAATGAATAAGTATTTCATCCTTGCCAAAGAATTTGTACCCATAATTATTAAAACAGTTCAGTGAATCTTGCGTACAAGAATTGAGTACAAGAATTAAAAACTCAAAAAACATTGAAACTTAACACAAGAGAATTATTAAAATCGACAATAATCCTGACGGGAGCTGAGGAGTAGTTAAATAGCTTTCTGTCACTTGATCCCCATAATAAATACTAAAATCAAAATAGACAAGATAGACAGAAAAGAGTCTTTAAAGTGCCTACTAAGTTTTAATAAAGTTAATTAGATTAGTTAATAAAGATGGTTCAAGTAGACATGATTGGGTAAGAACAGTAGTGCATGAGGAACTGCCCAAGTAATTTGCATTTGACCTTGGAAACATTGTATAAATACTAATTCACATGCCCTCGCGCAGGAGTTTCTAAAGTTTTCTTAGCTGTCACTCCCTTGGTTCTTAGATCACATCCCTAGGGCTATCTGCCAGGCCCATACGGAGATACTTCTTTCTTGATATTTGGTATAATGCAGATTCGAAACAGCTAATCTAACAACATATGAACACCTGGAGTTATATCGCTATACCTATACACCTCTGCAAATGTTGGCTGTCTTGTCTTGTTGGGGCTTGTGCTAACTAGATAACGTCAGCAGCATACAAATATACATTCGGACTTTTAACTTCGAAATAAAACCATGTTTTGTCATAGATATGTTTAACTTTATTCTAATACTAGCAGCATGAGACGGCTTTGCCCTTGCTTGATTCAAAAATCGTACGACTCATACAGCAATCGCTATTACTTGACTTTTTTATATATTTTTGCCCTTTCTTGCCTTTAAAGAAGTGCCCTTTGCCGTGCTGATGTTGCTACATGCCTTACTTCTTGCCTATCTCACACTGCAAATTTTTCTAAGCTCTATACTAAACATTAAATCTGTTACGAAAAAAGAACTAAACAAAATTAACATAGAACGATCAGCTTTAAAAAAAAGGACTCGTAACTGGAAAAACCGAATGATAAAAGAATGTTAACAACAAATACTTTTTCACACCCAACCCAGTTCTGCGGAATTAGGATCAACGTTGAGTTTAAGCAAGCGAATGAGCCAATTGGAGTAAAGTGCCATGCAGATTTAAATTTTTCCCTCTTGTGACGAATGCAGCTATCGATTTTTTTTTTTTTTTTGCATGCTAGCATGCTAGTTAACATTCGTGTCAGTCAGCTATTGGTTCTCACGCTGGCCAATAGAATCTTCCTGCCTATTCGTGGAAGCCAGCTATAGGCTCTCACTCTGGCCAGTAGAAAATGACCGCAAACTACATGAAAACTGCCCTAGAAGCATGAAAAAATCGATTATTTCCACTATCGATGGGAGTTGGGAAATGCAAAGTCGGTCTTGGCCTTTCTACTAACTTGGAGCATGTGCATGTAAATTTTGGTGCAAATCCGTCGAAAATTGCGGCCGTGCATTCGTTACACACACACACACACACACACACACACACACACACACACACACACACATCCTGCCTTTTATAGATAGAGATAATACTAACCTGACAACATGTAGAACCTTTATTTTTTACTAATCGCCTCCTACCGCTCAGAGCCCACTGGATGTCTAAACCACGACTAAGAGGGCGTGACTGCCTATTTAGTGAATATCAGCCCTAGAGAAAAGTAAATTTCTGTATATCTTCGAAATAAACAGATCGCCCAATTCAGGTCAGGAGTTTAAATCTCATTATTGGAAAACTTCAGGACGTAGGCGATGATGACCTTCGACATTTTCCTGTCTCTTGTAGCTCTTAATAAGTTTTGTCATTTTGTTATTTCTCTCAAACCCTGTTCTGTCATCCATTTGCTCAAAGCCATCAAGAATATTACACGCTGCTTTCCTTCTGTCTCTTTTTCCTTCTGTCCTGTATCAGGTTTTTGAAAGCTCCCCTCCACATTATGTACCCCAGAAAATTCAACTGCCTGTTCCTGATGTTACGTATAAGTTTCCTCTTCTCCAAAACCTCATTGTTGTTCACACGTTCGGACCATGTTATCCTCAGCATCTTTCTGTAGAAGCATATTTCTGTTGCTTCAACTGTCATATTTGAGGAGATTATACAGCATTCTCTGCCATACAGGAGGACAAGTATCACAGTTCAGTACTTTTTTTCTTTGTTTCTAACGAAATTCTGTCTTAATACTCTGCTTAGCTTTTAGAATGCATCTTTGGCCATCACAATACATCTTCGGATCTCAGTGTTACACTTTCCGTCCTCTGTTAGAACACTTCCCAGATATTTAAATTTCTGCACTTGTTTGATTTGAGTATCCTTGAGCTATACTTTTCATTTTGGGCTCATCCTTTTGCTGATAATAATGATCTAAAATATCTCTCATTACATAAAGTCAAATCTTTGGATTTTAAATTACTTTTTTTCGAACAAAATGAAGCGCTTGTGGCATCAGGAAAGCGTTCATCACATCCATATTTCCCCATTTCAATATATTATCTGCTACGTTCCTGAGATTTATCGAGTTTTTCACTATTTTCTAATTTCATTCTGAAACCTGCTGAGGAGACGATGTCTATTAATCTTAAACGTCCAAAAATGTTCCTCCCATATATTTTATATATTATAACATGTTAAATTGAGATTTTGTTTTCTACTTGTTCTTTATGTTATTATATCTCTGTGTATCGCTATTTGATCTGGCCAGGTGTGGGCTGGCTAGGGTGATCCTTTCGAATTTCTATGGGACAAAGAGAGCGTGCCCTTCAAAAATATTCTCATGGCAGGAAGAAATCGAAAAAGATTACTCTTCTTCTTTGATGATCTCAGAGATAATCTTGATGTTGTTAATTTGCTAAAAATGATCTCAATCTATCTTCTTACTCTCTCTTCCTTCCGTCATTATTTTTACATTTTCTTTTGTTTGACTCCCTCTCTTTCTTTTCACTCTTTATTCTTCTCGCCTATCTCTTACCCCGTTTTCTCTTTTTATTCATTCTCTTCAATCATTAACTCTTTCTATATACACTGTGTAACGAATTATTAACGAGGTGACAATTTTCCATTTTGTTAAAAAATTACAGGTTTAATTTAACGAAATTTTCACAGAATGATGGCAATAGTTATATGCACGTACCTTGCAAAAATACACAGGAACTACAGCCATTTACCTAATTTACTTAAATTATAACTGTTCCAAATTATTAGCGAAATGTTATTAAATCTCATGTAAACAAGAAAATAACGCTTTAATTGCTTCATGTAGAGATTGTTATGGAGACATACAGTAACTGACAAGAATTACACAGAGTTAAAAAAAAAATAATAGTTGACCTGGTTAATAAGGGATATGTGATCCTCTTCTTGAAATGATATGGATAAGGCGCTGGTTCATGGAACATGTCAATTTCTGGATCTCCTGATGTAATTCTATATAATAAATTCACTGTTGCCTGACAAGTCCTTCTTGCTTCTAAATTGGCGCCCATTCTCGTAAATCCGTCGATTCAGATTACCCCACAAGTTTTCGATTGGTTTTAAGTCTGGAGAATTGGCAGGCCATTTCATTTTCCAAGGTCCACAGAAACCTAATTGTTACAGGTACTTCGTAGTTTTATGCAGTACATGCGAGGGAGCATTATTTTGCATAAATATAATGGTTCTCCTGGACACAATCCTTTGCTTTTTAACCAAAGTTAAAGGTAAACTTTCAGGAAGGCTATATAAGTACGTGCAGTCGTTTCAGTACCGTCAGGAACTTTCCACGGAACAACCATGATAATTCTTTTAATACCAGCCCAAATCATGACATATCCTCCTCCTTGTTGTAATCTCAAGTGTTGATGACGATGTTTCTGTTTACAACCCAACATCCGCTCCAATCATCAGGGCCATCAATGGTAGCACGAGATTCATCCGTGAACAAAACCTTGGCGAAGTCGACCTTCATGTCATCTTCAGCCCATTCCAGACGCTCTGTATGTGTCTTTTTGCCAATAGACGCGTTGCCACTGAACTCAATAATTTCCCGACCTTTTTCAGAAGACGACATCAATTAGTTCTGGACGCAGTTATTTCTCTAATATGTCTGAAAATTTCTCTGCTAGGTTATTTACAGCTTCACGTTTAATTCGCCACAGAGAACTAACAACCCCCGAGTGATCCTCATCGGCCATCTTACGTAACATCGTAGGAGCTGCAACATAACTTTTCACAATTTGGTGATATCTTCCAATCATTTTAGATATTTCTAATGTTCATTTACCTTTTGCAAGTTCAGATGTTATAACAAACTTCTCGCAATTGCGACCCGTCAATGCACGATTATGATGTCACTCGTTAATAATTTGGAACACTAAAGTATCGTGTTACTCATGCAAATGGCTGCGGTTTCCTTACATTTGCGTAGAACCTAACAGATTTTGACAGCACGCGCATATAACTGATGCCATCATTCTGTGAAATTTTCGTGAAATTCCAACGTGTAGTTTTTGAACAAAATGGAAAATTGTCATCTTGATAATAATTCGTCACACAGGGTATATATGTCTCTCTTTCTCTTGGCACTTTATGATCTCTCTCTCTCTCTCTCTCTCTCTCTCTCTCTCTCTCTCTCTCTTCGATTTGATTCTGTTCTCATAACCTCTCTCACTTCTCTCTCACTCTTCCTTATCACGCTCTTCTCTGGACTCACCCTCCCTTTCATTCTTCTCTCTAGATCTGACTTTTAATTTATTTTTCTCTCTCTCTGTCAGTCTCGCGCTCGCGCGCGTGCACACTTCGCTACTTAAACTTTTATTGTCTTTCGTGCTCGCTTTCACTTCTCATTCTCTTTTTCTTCTCATTCACCCTCTTCGTTCTCACTCTCACATTTTTCTCGCTCTTTCCTCTCGCTCTTTCCATTTCTATTTTTATCCTCTTTATTTTTCTCACTCTCTATGTCTTTTTAATCTCTAATTATTCTCTCTCTCTCTCTCTCTTTTCTCACTCTCTGTTCCTTTTTATTCTCTCATTCAATATCTTCATCTGCATTGATCTTTATCCTTTTTCTCTCTTTCTGTTTTACATTTGTCTTATTTACGATTTTTTTAGTTTTTAATGTTAGTTTCATTATTTTCAATTATAAATTAATTTTTATAATCAATATTTTTTTTTATAATTGAATTTTTTATTTCTATTTATATTTTTGCCTTTTATTTTTAATATTCTATGAATTTATTAAAAACCTTTAATTATTAAAATATCATCTTTCTATTCATTAGAAAATATTAATTTTTCACCCGTTGCTGAGTATGAAGTGTCACCTTTACTCAATATTCCTTGCTGCTGATGGAATGGATCCAGTTCGCCATCATTTTTGCGATTTCCCTAATCTTTTTCCAGAACTGTTCCAAGTGCTCCAGTAATTATGAACACAACTGTTACCTTCATCTTCCACTCATTTTAGTTCTTTGGGAAGACCCTGATATTCATCCAGCTTTTTATTCACCTTCAATTATTCTTTGTTTTAATTAAAATGCAATGAATATTGACTGTTCGTCTTTTTGTTTATTTCTATGTGTGATGACACGATTTGAATGTGCTTCTCATTTAAAATCCCATCAAATTTTACTTTTATCATTCTTCAATAGTCTGCATGACAAAATTGATGTCGTTTGCACTATCATATTCAACATTATCACACAAGCATTCTCTCTCTCTCTCTCTCTCTCTCTCTCTCTCTCTCTCTCTGTATGTGTGTGTATGTGCGTGTGTTCTAAGTCTACATAAACAATAATCTCTAGATAAATACATTTTATTTTGCTCTGTGTCATTTCAGATAATTCACTTTCTCGCCCCCTTTTAAATCCCCATATCGTGTGGCCGCTACGCCTTGACCGGAATGTAGGATGACTCTCACTTGGTTGGGATTTAGATGCAGCTTCTCGTGGCTGGATGAAGAAAAGATGGCGTGACAGAAAAGTGAGAAAGAAAAAAAAACAAACAAACAAAAACTCCCTCGTTAGAGTCAATTAGTCTCCCAACTCATGCTATATCACACTAATGTAACGTTTTATCAGAGAGAAGTAACTCTGGTAAAATATCTACTAAGATTCATGAGCCGGTTAAGAGCTTCTATTGCTAGTTTAGTGAATCTTGGCTTTGCAGATTGCCCAGTAATGTGATCTATCTATCTATCTATCTATCTATCTATCTATCTATCTATCTATCTATCTATCTATCTCAGTCTGTTCATATCTATCTATCTCTCACTCTATTTATATCTATAGATATAAACAGAGTGAGATAGCATTTGCAAAATAGATTGTCAAAACTGTTCCTCCTAGTATATTGGAGAAACAAGCAGAAATTAAAAAAAAAACGCCTATATGATCACAAAAGAGACCTCACAAAAAACAACTTAACTGATGTATTAGTCATACATAGAAATAAATTCAACCACAATTTTGATTTTAAAAATGCTACATTCATAAGAATTAAAATAACTCACTCAGAAGGAAAATCCTCGAGAGTGTCGCCATTGAATATTATCCAAATATTAATCTACGCACAGGGTTTGTCCCTATTTCACCTTTCCTAACAGAATTACTACTCACGGAAGCAAACGTACACAACTGTATCAAGAAATCAAAAGAAAATGGTTGAATTCGGCAACACAACAATAAAAAAAAAGTTTGAACAAAGTAAATATAAACAATTTTTTCTATCCTCTGCCAGTCGCAATGATGGAGAAAGCATTACCTCGAAACATCGCCATTGAGACACGCTGCAAGAGCCACTCCGTTTCGCGAGACGAAATCGCGCCAATCCTCCGAAGGAACGCCATCGAACGAGGGCCAATAACCCCAGAAGTTTCCACTGCCACAGAAGTAAAAAAATCTATCAGTAAGACACAAATATTTCCACACTTGATAGTACTTGACGTAATTTTCAGTTGACAATATGAATATAATAACGTTTCTTTTTAAATTCTTTTAGTTGCTAAGGACAATTTTCTTTTGTTGTTAATAGTTACTTTGTTTTTAATAAATTCATTTCGTTTTTGCCGTGAAAAGTCCACATTGGACGAAACGTGTCGGCTAATAATACAGTCTTCCTATTGTCTTTTACCTTTATACATACATATCTATCTATCTATCTATCTATCTATCTATCTATCTATCTATCTATCTATCCCAGTCTGTTCATATCTATCTATCTATCTATCTATCTATCTATCTATCTATCTGCCTTATCAGTCTTTCTTCCACGTTATTCCCCATTTTTTCTGGCCTCATACGGAACTTGGTTATTTGCTGCACATGAATCATTATATTTGTCACTAAGAAAGTCTAATTACGACACAAGATCATTTTACTTCTCGGTTGTGTGTAACGGATATCGGCTCGGAAGGTGGAATCGGCGAACCGCGTTCAAATTTCGACCGAGTCTCTTGCGCTTACTTTCGCATAATTGTCCTTGGAAAAGGCATGAATCCGTTTCTTCTTTACAACAGTTATAAGTTAAATACCAGGGTAGACTTGACTATTTAGCTTTGGTGGCAACCAATCTAAGAGAAGGAATGCTCTAAATTCCAAACCCTAAAGATAGCAATGGGAAAGCAATGCCTTTCCCAAGATATTAAGCAATACCCAGAAAAGTTATCTATGTAGAGTTAATATCGACTAAGGCCTGAAGAGACAGAGCATTTTTTTTAATTACTACTTTTTTTGAGGTCTATGATTAAAATGGCTTCGAGTGAATAAAGCTTGTAGGTCTTAACGAGTACTATCCTACTTTGGACCTGATGGATCGGTACCACATAATCACAGACAAATAACTGTACCAATGAAATAGAAACCCTATAACTTGAGGGCTTTCAACAATATCAACAACTAAACTTGATAGCAAATGTAATTCAAAAAGAAGAAAATGACATAATCAATATATTGACCCTCCACAATATTTCAAGCAAAATGTTACGAAGTAATCTACCATAAATACTGGGAAGTGCAATAACAATTACGGGATTTAAAAAAAAACTATTTTTCTGAAAAATTGTTTTAAGGGAAAGATATTGAAAATTTTATCGGCCAGTAGCAGAATTTAGGAACACTGTTCTAAGGAACATTGGTCTAAGGAACCTTCGTCTAAAGATTATTGGTCTAAAGGAAACCTGTCTAAGGACATTTATCTATGGAATACCCGTCTAAGGTCATTGGTCTATGGAATACTCGCCCAAGGACAATTGGTCTATAATAATTTTTTTTTTTAATAAATTCATGTACAAAATATTCAATTTTTATTGATATTCACGATATTACAGAATAATATTTAAGACTTATTAATAATTAATTGTTATTATTTAATAGTTATTATTATTAATAATTATTAAGACACGTTAATTATTGATGAAACAAGTAGTTTATAAGCATTTATTAGTATGCATTGTTTTCCACAACCTACATTAGACCAATATTCTCTAGACGTATATTCTTTAGATGAATCTTTCTTAGATGAATGTTCTGGATCGCCTATTGTACAGATTGTATTATAGTAGTTAACAAGATAGTTCATGTGAAAGGAGTCATAGAAGATAGATGAATTTCCTTAGACCAATATTCTTAGACCAATATTCCTTAGACCAGCGTAGCTTAAACGAAAGTTCCTGAGATGAATGTTTCTTAGATGAATGTTCTGGATCCCACAGTAGCACAGCCTACCCGGTCAGTTAATAGCGAATGTTTCCTTATAAGGAAAAGGCTATTATTACCATAGACATTAGCATTCTTGATCTGTAGTTTGTAGAAAGATGAAAACAACTAGTCTACTAGAAGCAGGCAGCCATTAATCGCAAGGCCATTAATGGAGGTGCTACGTGGGCAAATCAAACAACTGTAACAGTAATGATCTGTGAGACAAGCTTTTATTAATTATTACTTCTTGGCAAAGACTATTTCAGGTTGGATTAACTTTAGAAAACATTACTATTTATACAAGGTTTCAATGACATCTTGTGAGGCTTTTTGATTCTTTTCTCAAGAACATGTCTGCAGCGTTAATTGACGTATGAGCCTGACTTGTGCAGACACGTATATAAGATAGTGGCAAGATTTAATTGTTTTGTATGACAATATCTCTTTCACTTTCAACGGCTATCCCTTTTTTTTAACCTCTTATTTTATATCCCTCCCCACAACTTCCCCGCTTTCGTTTTAGAATTTTATTTTGTTTTTTCTTTCAAAAACTTCTCTAACATTTCACTTTTCTCTTTTTTATTTTATTTCAAACCACAGCTTTCTGATTTTTCTCTTCCCTTCTCTGTCCATCATTCTTTTGCTATTTCTTCCCCGCTCCCTCTTTCTCCCCCCCCCTCTTTCTCCCCGCTCCCTCTTTCTCCCCCGCTCCCTCTTTCTCCCCCGCTCCCTCTTTCTCCCCCGCTCCCTCTCTCTCTCTTTCACTTTCTCTCTCTCTCTCTCTCTTTCATAGATAGATATATAGAAAGATAGATAGATATGGACAAACTAATCAAGCTACGTATATATGAAGAGACTGCGATAGATAGATAGATAGATAGATAGATAGATAGCGTTCCCAAAATGTATATAAACTTTCTTAATAGCAGCTATACTTTTAAAATGAAAGTTCTTTTCGAATAAAAAATATTAGAATATCATTCAATATTTATGTTTAAATTATATTTCATTTAAAGTATTTTAAAATATGAGATGCTGAGCATTAATGGGTTTTTAAGCCAAAGCTTCCAAAAATAAGAGCTGTTGTGTTCGTAGGCGCTGTGTTTAGGTCCCAGGGACACTGTTTGATATTCGTAAGTTTTATGCAGTTGTACGAGAATTAGGTACGACCGACAAATGTCCAATCACAAGTACGCTCCATAAAAGCATGAAACCCTATAATTCCGATGACAGTAATTTCGTCCATTCCAGGAGGATTCAACGAGGATTACGAATGTCCCATCATTTTATTATCTTTCGAAAGAAAATGCAGTCAAGACAGGATAGGAAAGTGAAAATAAAAGATTACTCTTTGAGTGAAAGGGATTACATTTGTTCCTTTCTATTCAGAAATGAACGAAAAACAAACATAAAAAGATCCAACCCATTTCAAGTCGGGATCCAGAACATTCATCTGAGGAACATTAGTCTAAGGAACACTGGTCTAAGGAATATTGGTCGAAGGAACACTATTCTAAAGAATATGTTTCATCTCTTTTTGAGATTTTGGTGTAAGAAAACAATGTTTGGAGAATTAAACACTCACAGCGCAAATCGAGAAGGAAGCAATGGGAATAGACTGAGTAGACGGATGATGGAGCAAATCAAACAAAGACAAAGAGGAATCGTCAAAAAGCAAGTATTACAAAAGACTAGAAGATTTAGGGAGCCATAATCGCCCATGCCGTAGCAGAATATAGAAAACAGAGAGAGAAAAACATTGTAGGCGTAAAATCTCAGGGTTCTTTTTTTATATCGTTATCACTCAATGCAAGACAGTAAAGGCACTAAGACACAGGGTGGGGGGTTTACAGGGTGCGGAAGAATTAGGAACTGAAACATTAATAATGAACCAGAAGAGGAAAGAGTAATCAGGAGGTCAGAAGCTAGCGATTGACATTGCATTGAAAATTTTTGCTGGAATTGGCTGGAAGTATAGAGCCGGAAGGGAGTTCTGCGAGTGAGAAATTCGAAAAAAGAAACTGTTAGCATAGAACTTACGTCACCATCTAGCTAGCCCAACAGTAATTTGATAAGATCTCAACACCAGTCTAGTACTGCGCTTAAATTCAAAACGTCTAGGTACCATAGCGAAGACCTCACCCGAACAATTATCATGAAAGTATTTATAGAAAAAACACGGAAGTAACCTTACGGCGGTGAGAAAGTAGCTGAAGCCGAACCGCCAAAATGTCTAGGTACCATAGCAAAGAACACATCCGAACAATTACCATGAAGGTATTTATACAAAAGACACAGAGAGGAAACCTTAAGGATGTGTAAATGTGGTGGAGATGCCAAATCAGGACTAATAATATCGCTGATTCTTCATTGGATTTTATCAAGGAGCTCAAGTTAAATTTGATAAAACACCTAGATTCTCCAATGAAAATAATTTAGATTTGACAAAGTCCAAGCGCGTTGGAGAGATGGTGATCATTCTCTGGATGGTTGCAAGTACTTATTCAAAGGAAAGCTCTAAATAATTTATAATCATTTCACCCCGTGTTTCGATAGTTAAACCATTATGACCCTTGAAGAAAGAACTATTAAACCATATCCTAAATAGGAAACAAAGGATAAACAACTACTCGTGTTTAAAAAATCGAGGAGTAGTTTGACCGTGGAAGCATACAAAAAATGCTTCCTCATAACAGATTTTTAAGCAAATTCACATACTTCTGTAATATCATTGCAAAGATAAATACATTAATTTGGATCAATCAACATTCACATTTTGAATTTGAAAGTGAATATCCCAGTCTTCAGAGGGAAATTCTCATTGTAAAAACAAAGATTGAATGTGGACGGCGGCAACAAAGGATTACCGTTATGGCAGCAGTTTGTAACCTCCAAAAAATTGATTTCGCACACGATATTAATTTGATTTTGAACACCATCTATCGCAGATTAGCAACTGCTTTCAAAAATATATTTTCAAGAAGCTAAACTGGAGAATGTTCTATGGATCCAAAACCCATTCAGAGTTCAATCTTCATACGACGATGTCAGCATAGGAATCAAATCTTTTTTCAGCTCTTTTGTGACAATATATTCAAAACAACATTCGCTAACATGGATATCAGGGAAGTATGAATGTCTTCTCCGTATTGATAATACACAACATTATCTTAATTTCATTTGCAACGACTTATCTCATCGAAACTGGATTTCGACGGTAAAATGTGAAATATAAAACAAGTATAGAGCAAAAGTTTAGGCGGAACAAGTAATGATATTGGTTTTCTGCAGTTTGATTCTAAGATTTGAGAAACTGTTATGAACAACCTCAAACCATTCGCATTCAGTCATTAAAAGAGGAAATAGTAAGTGTAAATTTGAATACCTCCAACACATAAATGCTCTTCTTTAACTACCATAGGAAACTGTTCTGCCTACTATCAACATGGCTGATCTGGACTATTGGAGAGTAACACGCAACACCTTCTTGGCATCTCTTTTTCAACTGATTTCAATTAGAGGGACTACATCTAATCAATAAGTCCATCTACTGCAAGGAAAGTTGGGTCACTGTGTCATGTCAGAACATTTTTTCTTGTCAGAGTCCATTTTGCACATTTACAAATCTACCATTCGTCCGTGCATTGAATACTATCACCGTGTTCGTGTGGAAACCATTGATCGAGTTTCTTCACCTTGCCAAATCTCTTGAAATTGACTCTGATATTGTTTGAAATGCTGACACACATTATCTGAGACATTTCTCCGACACTTGGGTATGAATTCTATTCAACTAGTGTTTCCAGGTGTTGATATTCAATTGCAGATGAACTTTCTCTAACATCTTGAACTTCAAGATTCACTGCGGGTCTTCAAAAACGTTCACCCCATGCTAAGTTAATCTTAGTAGCAGTTTGAGAAGCATTATGGTCAAGTTTCAACTCATGTAAACAAAAAGTAAACACATTTCTTTTTTTCAATTTCAAGATGAGGGATATATAATGTTTTAAATTAATTTCTTTCAGAAATTAATTTAAAATTACCAAAGATGACACTTTAGTTATTAGGGATGAATAATATGTTTTTGTGTAACTACTACAATATGTTAGAATATGTCTAAAAGGTTATCCTAAAATAGGACATTGTTTTTCCGAACTACCTAATAAATGTACTGTTTTACGAATTTTAATTTAAAGATTCAGTTGAGTAAACGCAAGTAAAAAATAATGAAAAATTATTTTCGAAATTGAAGGTCGATTTACAATGTACGTATAATGTAAAATTGAACTATGTTTCTCTGTCTTTGTAGTACAATGTTCAATTCAAAAGGTAAATATCTACACAAGTGCACGTCCATATTGCAAATCGATTAGCCACTTAGTGACAATTCACTCGCTTCTTCTAGAAAAGTTACCTTTTCTAAAAAACGAAATATTTCGGAAAGGAACAATGGTTAGAATAAAAAAAATTAACTATGTAGGAAAAATGTGTTTTTAATGATTTTATCTTGCGAAACAGAATATTGATTGTTGTGTTTTACTTATGTAACTACATAAATACAGATGCAGTTGTTTAGGAAACCGCTGCTTAAAACGATTGAAATAACCCTGGAAAGATCGTTGTATTGACGAACACTGGTCGACCACATAGTCTCTTCAGGTTGCTAAAGAAGAAAGAAACGAAGAAAAGTGAATATATATATATATATATATATATATATATATATATATATATATATATATATATATATATATATAAAACCTAGAGAGCCAGACAAAACTACCAAGGTTTCACCTAAGCGGATCGTCAGGGAAGGCTGTCTAAAAAGGTAACAAAAGAACGGAATATTTATAGTCAATAAAAAAAAAAAACATAACCACGTGACAAAAAAAACAAGAGGGTTGGGGAGAACCGTTTATTCAAAATTGACGAAAGAAAGAGGGGGGTTAAAAAAGAGAAACACGGATAAACGGGGGTGTAACTATTTATTCAATCGAAAAAAAAAGAAAAAATAATAATAAATAATATAAAAATAAAAATAAAAAATATAAAATATTATAATACTTGGGAGAGGAGATCTAGTCTAATAACCAACGTTTTCGATCTCTACATTTGTTTCGAATTTCGATTTTAGAATTTAATAACTGATTAGGTTCCTTATATATATATATATATATATATATATATATATATATAAATTTTATATATATATATATATGTATAAATTTTATGTATATATATATTCAATTTTTTTGTGTATTTAGGCAGCAAATTCTCTTTTAGGCATGTCTGATTGAATAAATTACATACATTATATCTGCTTATTTTTATCATAATCTTTTCATATTCACTAATATTTTTCCGTATATTACAATTAAATAAGCCAAGAAATGTATTGTAACAGTGAGAATCCCTTTTATTACGCAAGTACTTTCCATCTCTTTCTGAGATCATCATCAGTGGTAAGGCAAAAATATATATTTAGCTATCTATTACTGATTTTTTTTTAATTTTGTGTTTAAATGCTATGGCTGACAATTGTGCTTTAGCGTTCATTAGAACGTGAAGTTACCCACTATGGATTTTTTATTTTATGTTGGAATGACATTTATATGTATATAGGAGGCACGGTGGTGTAATGGATAGCGGCTTGGCTTGAGGAATCGGATCCATTCGAATCCATTATTACGTGATAAAACCATGTATTCTTCTCCCTCCGGGGGTGGGTGGGAGGAATTGCAAGACAGACTCGTCTCTATAGCCAGGACAACTCTGACTTCAAAATGGGAAGGA